TTTTATATTTATATAAATACACATCTACCAAGAAGCTGCATCTTGTGGCTCCACCTTACTTTAAGAGCAGACCCTAAGCTGGGGGAGAGCAGCAGGCTGAGCCCGGCAGCAAGTGGTCCTGCAATTGGCCTCACTGATTGTCTCACAGCCTCTTCCCACCAGGAGAACTTACCTTGGAACAAAAGACAGCTCCAAATGGAGAGAGAGCTCCCACCCCAGCCATAGCAAGCAATCAGAAAGCAGGCAAGAATGGGAGCACTGGGGCTTAGAGTGGAGGCATAGTCTGAACCAGACTGCACCTTGGTTTCTCATGTGTAAAGGAAACCTTGACTACTCCCTTAGCTACTACAAAGGTTTGATTCAGTGGCAATGGAAAGTGCAGACTCACGGCGAGACCATAGCTGGAAGCTTCTCAGGACAATATAGGCATTTAGAATGTTCCCAGCATGGTGGAGGATGGATCATCTGCTAGTTACCAGAAGGGCCCTGGTTGGGTATGATCCAGCTTTACAGATTCTTCTCAGATCACAGCTCTATGAGAAGGTGGCTGGACAACCCCAAGCCATGGGGAACACAGGCCTGGACATCCCTGTGGGGGATCATGGGCTTGTACACCCCCAATCCATGGGGATCAGCCTTGCCCAAATTCACTTTTGATGTTAAATAATCTTAAAGGTGAGAGACAACTCCTGGTTTTGCTGGGATAGACTTGCTTTCCAAATTTGTAATAAGGAACTCAACATCCAAGAAAAACCCAGAATCACAGGAAGGTTTACACTATAGTTAAGGAATGACAACCAGAGGAACTGGGACAGGGTGGAATGGGATCAAACTTCATGAGATTCCAACAAGGCCAAGTGCAAGGTCCTGCACCTGGGTCAGGCCACCATGCGATATGACTGCAGACACATACTGTGACATCCCTGCTATGCAGGTGACAGCAGGCAGCATGGATTTCACCACAGACACCAGGACAAACATCTCCCTGGTCCAGCCCTTGCCCAAGAGAGAGACTTTCTTTACCTTGGCTTCATTTTTCCTGACATTCTGCCTGACCCCCTTATTTGTTTTTATCAAATCTTACTGGACTGAGAGCTATACTTCCTCCTGCAGGAAGAGCAGTGACAAGACTTCTTCCATCAGCCCCATCCTTGTCACCACCTTTATATCCCATATTTCATGAAGTCACTTCACGGGATGAATACACAAACAGGCGAACATCCTCTCTCAAGCTTTCCAGGCTGTCCAGCTGCAATTATTTCTATCTCTCAAGGTGAACTGTCACACAAAAATGTGATTAAATGGATTCTGAATCTGGTTAGGGTTTGGTGAGGGCATTTTTTAGCATTTGCCTAGAAATCCCTCTTGCTTTAATATTAAAACCAGCAGAAAGCAAATCTGTTATTACTGAGTACTGTGCACAACTTCAATCAGCAGACAGGTCTCAGTGTGTTGCTATGACTAAAACAGATACCAAGAGGAAATGTATTACCTGTAACACAAGAGTCGACTCGAGTCATCCCCAACTCACACTGTGAATGAAGGTGTTGTTATCCACGCGAGCATAGTGCAAACTTAACATCAACATCCTGACAAGCAAGAGACTGTGCGGGAGGATCTAACACAAGAAAAGGTTACCAACCTCTGCTTGTTTGCACCACACGCTGATGTTCTTACGCTGAGCTTTCGTGAAATGGTCCCAAGCCTTTTGTTTGGAGGCAGAATGGTACACGGCCACTATCTGCTCGACTGGAGTATCAAATCAGCAGCAAATCGGGCCCGAATAGCATCCAGAGAGGGCGAACAAGAGGAGTAAAGGAGTAAAAAAGTGGAATCAGGCAGGTGGTTTGGCTACCTTTTTCTTATAACACTGTACTGTGCTGACGCTACGCTCAGGGAAGGGCTTAGTGCCTGGAAAGAGAGATGTGGGCCTTACCAGGCCAGTGCCCAGAGCTCACAGAGTGACGAACTACTGGGAAATGGGCTCTGCTCTCAGCTGGGAAAAAGGCAGGACACATGGAAAAAAGGCAGCACATGTGTGCTGAAAAACATCCAAATATGTTGTGCAAGGCTGGCTGGGAGTGTAAAGAGTCCAGAGGGGCAGCACTTGCCCTCCAAAATGGGATGATGAGGTACAACTGTGAGAGCTGGCCCTTGGGATGTCCCAATGGACAGTGCCACAGCCTGTGCCACCTACAGGAAAAAGGCCCTGGCACCAGCCATCCACTTTTCTTGGTCCTGAGATTTATTTCTTCTGTTTCTCTAGAAAATTCACAGAGGATTTTGGATATACAAAGTGCTTCTCCTTGGACAAGAGCTCACCCACAGCACAAAGCACATCTACCTGATTGGGGTTTTTATGCCTCTGATGTGCTAGCCATAATTCTTACCACATAAACACATCTCCTTGCTCCTCAGTGTAACCTAAGAATGGCTGAGATCTCAGCTGTGTTTCAGAGAGTAGAGTTACACACTAGCCTCTATTGCTACTTACTCTGCAGTGCTCACTGTATGGCCCTCTGGACTGTGTGCCCATAGTTTTTACCATTAACAGAATTGAAAGCAAAAAAATAATTTAACAAAAATCAAGTATCAAAAAAGGAACAGCCAAAATTATTGGATATAAACCCAAAAGTTAAGAATGTTCACAATCTAGGTGAGGGACTCAGAGAATTAGTACAATTGAGGAGAAGGTACTTGTAAAGAAGTAAAAATATTCAGATTTATTAAAGCAAGGATGTGTAAGAGACAACAAATGGTCTGAAGAACTGTTACAAATCACATGCTGGAAATAATGCAATCCATGCCTCTTCCTTGGTTTCCTGGTCTAAGAACATACTGGGATTTGAAAGACCCAGGTTCTGCAACAGAGTGTTGGGAACACTCCACTGCATCCTACCTTTGGCGAACAAATCCTGCACACTTCGCTGAGGCACCAGATTCCCAGGAACTTACCTTGTCTGTGCACAGGAGGAGTTGAAAAGATGACAGAATTACTAACAGACGATAATTAGAAGAGGAAACAAATTTCAGAACTCATTCTATGCTCCCCCAAAATGTGGACTCTTACTTCAGTAACAAGTACCACAAGGGATTTTTGCCAAGTTAATGACATGATCGTAAATGAGCTTTATCTGCACAGAAGTGATTGCTACTTCTCTTCCCAGAGCCCTTTTAGCGTGGCCTCTCCAGACTCTAGAAATCTTCCTTACACCAAATGACCAACATCCAGCATGGACAATCTACTCACACTGCACCAGGATCCCTGAGAGAGCCAGTTTGAACTTCTCTTTAGCTTCTTCCATCTCTTTCTCATGAGCTGCTTTCTCATTGATGAGCCTGCGGATGTGGCTGTTGGCCGACTGGATCATGGAGTAGAAGTTGTTGGCAGTCCTCCTGTTCACTTCCCCACGCTCTATCCAGGTCAGCAAGGTCTGGATGGCTTCTGAGAACTTTGTGTCATCTGCAGCAAGAAAGGACACTTTTACTCCACAGGAATGAGGTTGCCTGGGCACATTTCAGGTCCTTTCCCTGGCACTGAACTGCTCTTTCAGAGGTCAACTTCCATCAGGTGGCTCATTACAACTCCTAGAAGCACAGAATGATCTACACACATGGCTGTACAAACGAAGACAAGTCTAATGTCAAGCTGATGGAGCAAATTATCTGCTGAGGTGCAACAAGAGGAGGACCAACTGCTAGAAACCTACTGGAAAACTTCATGTCTACTCAGATGTACCCTTTTGTGAAAGAAAATGTTCTCCAGCTGCAAAATCATCAGTTCTGATTTGCACAAGTTTGTTGTACTCAAGAGATTTGTTCAGCCTTGGGAAAATAACATTTAGGGAATACCTCATCACTGTGTTCCAGTATTCAAAGGGTGGCTACAAAGAATATGGAAACTTCTTTTTTACAAGGAGTCACACAGAAAAGATGTGGGGCAACGGGTGCTCCTGGGGAGATTTCGATTGGGCACAAGAGGACCATTTTTCACAATGGCAACAATCAGCCACTGGAAGTGGTGGATGCCCCAATACTGAATGCATTCAAGACTGGGCTAGGCAGGGTGCTAGGCCATTTGGTCCTTCCAACCTGGGATACTATGAATGTGATTCAAGTACACAGTTGTTTTGACAAAAATAAACAATTCTGCAAGGGAGAGGTCCAGGGGAGCTGCTGTGTGTGGGCCGAGGGCTCTGCAAGGTCTCCATGGCACCAGCACCTCAGCTCAGCAAGAGACCTTAGAGAACACAAACTTCTGTTCAGCTGCTGCACAGAAGGGTGGCCATGGCCCCGCACCCACTCACCTTTCAGCTTCTCAGCGACCACACTGCACTCGTGGTCGGAGTAGTGGACAACAGGTGGAGGGGAGGGCGGGCGAAAGCGTTCCTCCGCCAACCGCCTCCGGTGGCGCTCCTCCCGCGCCAGCATCCTCTGCTTGCACTCCCACTCGTACAGGTCATCCCGAGCCTGGGCAAAATCCACATGCAGGCGCCCAGTATCCTTCTTGTCAGTGCTGGAGCCCAGCCTGATGCGATAGCCTGGTGGGGATGAGAAGTGTTCAGGCAGGACAGGTGACTTACCTGGAGCTCCATAGGCAAAAAGAGCCCAGGACAAGTCAAATCAGCTCTCATAACTAACGGGGAAAAAAATCCTGATAAAAGTCAAGCACATAATCCCATTAACAGGCAATTGAGAGCAACTGCCAATTTTTATAGGATCCTTAGCATTATCTATAGAATCAGCTGGATATTTATCCAGGTTAAGATGGGGATGGACTCTGTACCTCAGCCCAATGTTTTATAGAGGTTTGCAGGTGACAAAGCATTGCTGTCCTTCCTCTCAGGAGCCGTTGTCATGGATTTAAGCAGAAATGCAATAGCAGCACAAGGCAAACTGACACAACATTAGCCAAATCTGCTCCAAATCCTACCATTCTATCTATAAAGGCAGCATCACAGCTCTGCCCCAGACACTTAAGATGCTCTCTGAGCCAGAAATATACCCACCAGAGAGATAAAGTGCCTTGTCCACCATGAACTCCTCAGCAAAGCGGATATGGCAGAAGTTCTTCTTGCTCTTCCGGATAGCAATGACCTCCCCACACTGCTCAAACACCTCCATGATAATCTGTTCTGTCCCATTTTCCGGCAAGCCTCCAACAAACACTGTCTTGCACCCCGGGGGCCTCTCTCTTGTGGCTGGAGGGGGAAGATCTGAAGAGACAAAGCAAAGCAGGTTAGTTTTTGGATTGTCAGCACATGTCCCTTCCTCAGAGACAACCATACCTCCCAGGCTTCATTCAAACACACACCTGGCTACGCTGCACTCAAATTCATTACAAAGCAGATCCATAGCACTGCTGACATGCTCCATGAGAGTTAGCATGTTCACTGTTTCCAAATACAAGATCCCAGGAGCCTGAAGCCCTCCAAACACTCTCCTGAGCACAAGCAGCAGCTCACTGAGCTGCTGTCTCTATGAGATGAGCACCTCAAAACTTTAGCATGGGAGGTGCTACAAAGTCAGAGCTTTTAAAGAACAGTCTTAATGTAAATACTATACAGCAAATGTGTGCAGAGTATTCTCTGTGCTGCAACTGCACATGCTCCAGGCCTCCCTGCTTGAGCTACACCCTTACACACAGATCCACACTATCAATGACAGGCATGTCCATGTATCATCTTTGCTTTGTTTTTCCTCCCTCTGGTTTTTATAACAGAAGTGAAGAGAAAGGGTCATCAGCTAGTGTGAAGGGGATCCCTATTTCCTGCAATGGCCCGGTGAGCCCTGACTGTGTTTTTTCAAGTTTTCCGTACTATTTCCAACTGCCTCTGCTTTCCTTCCACCACATTCTCAGCATGGACCATGCAAGGCTGATTCAGTCCCTTATCTCCAAGAACTCACTGTCTTTGAAGCCTTAGATAATACATGTGAAAAATCTCACCATGAAGACTTCATATGTCCAGGGACTGGAATGCTTTCTTCCCCAGTCCTTGTCAATCTAACAACTGAAGCAGATATTTCTGGAAATGGCAAACACTCAGGGACAAGACCAGGCTTGTCCTGTTGCTCTGTGGCCTGCTTGCCAGCAGCTCATCACAGCGACTCACCCCAGGTAAGGGAATGGCCCTTCTCCTATACACATCTGGGGATTATCTAACACACACAGGTATTCCTATGCAGACAGAGACAGGAAAAAACATAGACAGTTACGTGGGTTAGGTGGGAAGAGAGTGCAGCTCTTGCAATGAATGATCTCCTTCACAGCAGGCATGTCTGGAGGGATGGGAGGTGGGACAATCCCCAAGCCTGGCATCATGGGGTTGATCGGAGGGATTCCAGTCATCATCCCAAGAGCAGGATCAAAATCTAAATGGGGAAGAGAATAAGGGAGTCAGGTAGGGGTTTGGAGCCATGCAGTGACTATGAACTCAGACAGCAAATAAGGTCCCACAGGTGCCAGTGGAAATTGGCTGAGTAAACACCAGAGAGGGAACATGGCAACAACAAACTTCAGATTTGTGCCCTAAAAACAACTATCTAAAACTATTTCATTGTTGAATGCCTCAGTCAAATAACTTTTCTCTTAAAATCAACCACTTCCTTCTTCACTCTGTAGACACCAGCTCCCATCTAGTGTCAAACACTTCCCAGTGAGGTTTGTCCAAACAAGGACACACATGGCATATGAAAACAGTGGAAAACCTGACCCAGTTTTGTTGGACTCAATGATCCTGGGCATCTTTTCCAACCTTCATGATTAAGGGCATCACCTTGCCAACCAGAGAAGTCTACCAATTCATGCAGCTAAGAACCTGCCAGAACAACTGGGTAAAAAAACACACAGGAAGCATTTAAGCAAACACTTTGCTGTGAACCTAACCTACCTCAGTGGTCTCTAGGCTTGAAAACACCTTGTGTGGTGAGGCACTGGCACACGTTGCCCAGAGATGCTGTGGCTGCCCCATCCCTGGAAGTGTTCAAGGCCAGGTTGGATGGGGCTTGGAGCAGCCTGGGCTAGTGGAAGAGGTCCCTGTCCATGGCAGCAGGGCAGAATTGGATGAGCTTTAAGGTCCTCCCAGCCTAAACCATTCCATGATTCTATGATTCTTAGAGCACAGACTACATGAAAAACTTAGGGCAAGTTAAGTGATGCTGTTAAGTATAGTATTGGCTCCACAGCAAACCACCTGCTCTGTGCTACAAGAGCAAAACTGGGCTTGCAGAGTGTTGCCAACACAGGATCCTTCTTAGCGGAGTAAAGCACTGGAACAGTCAGTTCAGGAGTTTGACACCCAGCATCCTGCACTGCTGGGAAACCAGGCGCAGCACTGCTCTGTTCCCCATAGGAGCTCTTTCATCCTGGACAGGATGACTCACCATGCACATGTATTCCAGACCACAAGGTGCCCATTTCTGGAGCACAATCATTCATTAATTTCTGCCATTTTGCTGCCCTATTGCTTTCCTCTTCATCTCCCTCCCACCTTTCATTTTAAGCCACTGCAGTTTAGATGAATGTGTTACTGGATAACACTGGTTTCCTGAGCTCTGCGTGGCACCCTCCTACTCCTGGTCCACTGCAGAATCCCTGGAGGTACTCCACAGTAACTATTATCTGCATTAAAAAAACATGCATTCTTATTTCCTCTGAAATCAGGTCTCTAAAGAAAGCACTTGCAGAATCAATGCATTTCAAACACTGTATCCACATGGTTTGTACATGGGCATTTATCCAACACCACTAAAACAGACTTTGTGGGAGAATTTCTGATTGCTAACGGACATGTGAGCAATCCAGCCTTGCTAGCAGGGCCTGAGCAAGCTGCAAGCCAAGCTGTTCAAGGACACTGCTGTGGCTGGAACGCGAGGAAGAAGGTAGCAAGATAAGCAGCTCCTGGCTGTGGGATGCAGGGGCTGAAGATGCTTAGAGGTGGAGAACAGTAATTGGGGCATTTTATGATTGATACGTTAATACCCAATTATAGTGTGTGTAAGGTGGGCTAGTAATAGTAGTTAACCAATGATAAGTGGGTGCTTATAATAGGTGTGTATAAAAAAATCACTTCTGTAAATAATAAAGTCAGTCACGAGATATTCAAGAAGATGAGATGATAATCGCCTCTTTGTACGTGAACTCCCGCAAGACTATTCCCAAAAAACTGTCTGAAAGGAAAGGTGGGCACAGCCTGGCTCAGCTCACCGGGCAGGAGGGGCTGTCCTGTCATCCCCATGGGAGCCATCCCCAAGTTGTTCATGGCGGTGGCCCAAGCAGTCGGGTCGGACATTGGCAATCCCATCAGAATGGAGTCCAGGCTCAGATTTCTGCCACCATCTGCTGAGAGGAAAATAAAAGTGATTAAGAGCTTAGAGCAGATCTCAGCTCTGCTGCCCAGCATGGCCCTGCAGTGTCAGCACCCAAAACCAGAGCTGAACCCGACACTCAGGTTAGAGCCAAATAGGGAAAACAAACAAACCAGTGCTGTCCCTCAGGAGCCACCAGGACTAGGAAAACACCTCAAAGCACCTCAGTTATGGTTTATCCACTACAGTTTCCAGCTCTAAGGGGCCTTGAAGGAACACTGATTAAAGGTAAGGGGACAGTGATTCCTCCCAAGAGATTTACGAACAAAGGACACAAATCCAGCTGGTATAAACTGTCAGACTGCACTGAACTGAACAGTCAGCCAGGCTGTCCCAGCAGAATCCTCTCACTGCCACTGGAAGATACTTCTCTTCCATGCTCACAGGGGAAGGGAAGCAAAGAACAACGTGATGCTGCTGCCAGCAGCAGGCCCAGTCTTACTGCCTCAAGGTGTAGCAGTTACCTGGCAATTCAGGTGGAGCCATTGACACCACACAAACACAGGGCTTAATTAAAGCACTCGGATCCTCTTCAGTGATGTGGCTGGGTCAGGCACACATTTACCTGGCTACTTCCACAGATCACCTGACAAACACTTGTTCTTTCAGCTACAGATGCCTACAGCAAAAATACCTGAGTTTGTTCAAACACAGATGGGAGGGGGAAGGATGAGGAGGGAGAAGGAGACATGAGAAGGACTAGGGAAGCTCTTGGTCAAGAGGCTCAGTCCCACACTCCTAGTGGAACTCTCTTGTGCTCTGCAGCACCTCAAAACCCTAAACTGCTGTAAACTGTAAAGTCTCAGATTCTCCTTCAAGTTTCCTTTAAAGGATTTTTAGCACCAGGTAAACAAAGCTGGACCTTCCCTCTACCCAATTACATTTCACCCTCTCTTCCTGCAGCCATAGGCTTTGCACAACACCTTCCTTCTGCCTCAGGTCCAGCCTCATCCTTCCCCTCTGCACCTGGCATCTCCCTATGTTACCTGAGACTAATTCCCACAGACACAGCTCTGTACACACTGTAACATCTCATCTTCACAGCATGAGCAGGTGCCACATTCTCCCAGTGACACTGGTGGGATTGCAGTTTTCAACCACAATAGAATCTCCAAAGACATTATTCTGTCTGCATTTTTTTTTTTCCCCCCAATCAATCTCTGAGAAATCTGGAAGCTGGCATTTAAGAAGTTTTCCTTCTGGCCTTGATTTTAATCTTGAGATACTGTCCAATTAGAAAAAAATTGCATAAATCTAATGGAACAGGTATAGAGATTCATAAAATGGTTTGGGCGGGAAGGGACCTTAAAGCTCATCCAGTTCCACCCCCTGCCATGGGCAGGGACACATTCCACTAGACCAGGTTGCTCCAAGCCCCATCCAACCTAGCCTTGAACACTTGCAAGGAAGGGGCAGCCACAGCTTCTATGGGCAACCTGTGCCAGTGCCTCACCACACTCACAGGGAAGAATTTCTTCCCAATACCCCACTAACCCTTCCCTCTGGTAGTGGGAAACTGTTCCCTCTTGTTCTATTGCACCATACTCCTTGCAGAGATTCCACAATCCAAGCATGGCTAAATGCACCCTGGTCAAACTGCAGCAACACCAGGTCCACCCACCTCCATCTCCACCACCCACACCAACACCGCAGCACAGCAGCTGGATCCACGGCTACATGGACCCCTTTTCTACGGCCAGCAACAGAGCTGCTACTCAGCTCACCTGGAGGAACACTTGCTCTCTTCCTCTTTCCTGGATCGCTTCCATCCTCAGCTGGGCTGTCCGACACCCGCAGGCCAGCAGCACTGCCCAGCTGCAGGGACTCGGTGGTGCTGGCAGGATCAAAGGACAGATGGTTTAAGCCTAAAAGAGAAAAATGCACTTAAGAGACTTCCTTTAAACTGAACTTGTGATGCTTCAGGATCACAGTAATGAGAGAAATGCCCAGTTACAGGCACAAGCAGCACTCCAAGTCCTGGAGCAATTGAGCCTCCTGCTCATGGGCCCCAGCTACAACTGATCTGAATGTTACACTGATATCACTGTAAAATATTACTCACCAACATTAATCCCACCACCCACATGAATCAAACTGCCTGTCAGTGTAAGCCAGGGGTGCATCTCCCCTGTGTTGAACAGCATTTCATGTCTGGAAACTCAGAGAACAGGACTTTTTCCTATTTCTTCCAGTCCAGGAACACATTTTTAACAGTTACTTCAGTCTCACCAGTTGTGAATTCACCTGGCGTTATTTACTACCAAAAACGAAGGCACAACTGAGAACATCTTCAAAGCCAGATAGTGCTATTGGAACTTTTATTCCAGGAGTCTGGCAGGCAGCTGCTCCACTCTGTGGCCACAGAAGGGACTCTGGGACACATGTCCCTGAAGAGGGGAACTCCAGGCCCAGCCCACAGGACCACACTCCTCATGTTCATTTTAAGAGCCAGATGCTCAAAGACAGTACTTCGAGTCCTGATGCTCAGGATTTGTTTTTGATAGAAAAGATCTACCAACAGTGAGGTTTACTCAAGAACAAATGTAGATTGAGACATATAAATGAAGTAAGTCTAAGGTAAAGTTCTAAGCAAATTATGCAGACTTGAATCAAAGAAAAAATTGTTTAGCAGCTTCCAGTGTATTCCCCAATTCAAGGAATTACACCCATTTCAGAGTGATTCTGTGATAAAGCAGCTATTAGATGATCCCCACCACAGCTCTGTGCGGGCAAACTGCAGGTCATAGACAAGTAATGGCATTTACAGGTCAGCAGAGCATGGTCCCAGCCACTCTTGGCTGTCTAAAGTGGATTGTTTCTTAAAGCTACGGGTAACAAGACACAAGTACTTTGTAAACAATTCCAAATTAATGGAGGCTCCAAACTTAAAGCTTCCAGTGTGCAATTAACCACAGCAAGTCTGAGAATCACAGGTTCATTACCTTTGGAAAAGACCTTCAAGATCATCAAGTCAAACCTTCAACCCAGCACCACTACCATGTTTACTACTGAACCATGTCCTCAAGTGCCACAGCCATGTGTTTTTTTGCACACTTCAAGGATGGAAATTCTACCACTGCCCTGGTCTGCTTATTCCAGGGCTTGACAACCCTCTCTGTAAAGAAATTTTCCCTAATATCAAATCTAAACCTCCCCTGGTGCAACTTGAGGCCATTTCCCCTTGTCACTTCTTGGGAGAAGAGACCATCCCCACCTGGCTACAACCTCCTGTCACGGAGTAGAGAGCAAGAAGGTTCCCCTGTGAGACTCCTTTTCTCCAGGCTGAAGAGAGGGGTGCAGTGACCTGAATTAAGCCCTGAGTTCCTCACTCAACTCTCTGTCACACTCAGCACTTGCAGGAACCGAAGGTACACTAAAAGATCCAGTTCGATTTATCTTTGCCTCAGCAAATTCACACTGAACAGACAATGTTAACAAGAGAGAAAAACCAAACAAATCCTTTTTCTGGCCCCATAAAAAGTGACAAAAATAACCACATTTTTAAGGTACCCGTGTCCAGGGAAGAACCAGCACAACTACCAGAGCACCAAAAATTACAATTATCCCATGCCAACACACTGATGGGCTAAGGCATTTGTACCAAACCTTCCCTCTGACACTCAGCAGTGTTGTGATTTCTATTCCAGAGGATTCCACTTTCAAGAACTTAATAAACAGGGCTGCTAAGTCTGGCTGTAAATAGCCAAGTGGATACAGGGAGCCTGAAGGGCTCCTCTCTGTGCCACTGAAAGGTGAGAACACAAGAAGCAGCCAAAAACATAAGGACTATTCGGCTGGCAACAACAATAGTCACGCCCGGCTGTGCAGGATGCCTACAATGCTGTGTCTTAAATATTCCAAAGTCATGGAGGTCATGAAGGCCCGGGAAAACAAATCTGAATGCAGCAGGTTAAAAATAGAGAGAGGCCATGAGCAGGGAAGACATAAGGGGAAAGGAAAAGGAGCAATTTTAAGTTTTAATATAGGGTATAATAGTATAATAAAGGGTGATTAGACACTGGAATGGGTAGCCCAGAGAGGTGATGGAGTCACTCTCCCTGGAGGCGCTTAGGGAGAGACTGGATGTGGTACTTAGTGCTCTGGTCTAGTTGACACGGTGGTGTTAGGTCATAGGTTGGGCTTGATGATCTCAGAGTCTTTTCTAAACTAAATGATTCTGTGATTCTGTTCACCTCTGTTATTATCCAGGTGATGGAAAAAAGCAATGTTAAACTTTTTTAAAGAGTGTTTTCTCAGACTTGGGAGTAGGGAAGGATGAAGAGAAGCAGCGATACCAGACACCCTGCTCTGGCTGAAGACAAAAGGCTGTAGAGACCAGCACCTGAATGCCAATGGCTCCAGCCATTGCTTCCCAACCCACTGGGGAGCACAGGCAGCCACTTACTCAAAGGATTTCCACCCCAAATTTGAGCTGGAATGCTTGATTACACCCCGTGGCACAGGAGGAGCACTTGGATGCTGCATGGTGCTTTGATGGCTGTGCTGGGAGGGAGGCAGGCAGCTCCAGCGGGAAACAAGGAGGGGAAAACTACTTGTGATCTTGGCAAACATTTTTTTAATAACGTATTTTGGAAAAAAACAACCAGATTCCTCAGGTACAGGACAAATCCAGAGGAAGCTCTTACACTGCACAGTCAGCACACTGCCAGTTAGGGCATGAACATAACAAGAGTGCCTGAACCCAGTGCCCAGCTCGTGCCAGAGCAGGCAGTTGGCAGCCCTGCTCTGAGCTGTCCCACACACACCCTACACCCATGCCAGCTCTGGAGACCTCCCATGATCTGACTCAGCTCATGCCCCAGGCAGAAATTAATGCAGCTCCTGAGAAGTGGATAATATTCTGCTGGATTAGTGTATCCCAGTTGCCTGCAGAAGGCTCTAACCCCAACCTGACATACAGGAAGGAGAAGAAACAGACATACAAATGCTCTTGAGTCTTCAACAGCAGCTCTGACTATCCACCCCCTCCTCATCTTGGCCAAGCTGGTAAACCAGCACCTCTTCTGCCTTCAATGTATGGATTAACAAGAAGAGATGGATAAAAGGAGGAGAGGAGACTACAGTGAAGGAGAACTGAACAGTAATAAGTATCTGTTTCTCTTCTCACTTAGAGGCAACACATGATCCCCAGATGTGAATGCAGCAACATTTTTTGTGCTGGTACAAATTGAGATGTTGGGTTAGCACTCAGAGGTGACCAAGGCACTGGACCCAGGTTCAGCCTTCTCAGCTACGGTACAGTTCATCCTCATGGAGAGCACTGAGAGTAGCAGAGAGGTAAAAGTCAAACCCCTCATGTGCTCCCAGTGGAGGATTTGGGGTTGTTTTTAACCTCAAGCCATGTAACAGCAGTCACGTCTCCCAGAGCAATCCGAAAACAGCCACACCAGTCCAAAGAGGGGACAAGAGTATGAACAAAACAAAAAAATTATTATATGCCTCCCAGATTTCCAGAATAAACAATGGACTTTCCTAGAGTCTTTTTTCCAACTGGTATCTCACAGGCCAAGGATTCCACCTTGTGATTCTCTGCATTCAGGATGCAAGGCTTAAAGAGATAAAATGTCATTGTTTCAAATCCAGCTCAGTGTCTGAAAACCTTTTCAAACTGCACAAGGAAAGAAAGAACATTTGCACCATGTTTGCATCTGCTATGAAATTTCATCCCCATTTACAGGGGGTTTTTTTCCTTCCAAGACAAGGAAGAAATTTCCACATAAGAAGTGGCTTCAAGCTGCCCTGCTCATTCCATATACTGCTCCAAAGTGCCTAAATCTCTTCGAAAGGTAGAAACAGGACTTTCTGAGGTTTAAAGCTCTGCATTTCCAACTTCACATGGTGCAAGGCACCAGAAGAGAAGCTCACTACTGTCCTTATGCAGCCTCCAAATAGAATTCCACAAGCCAAATATTCACAAGTCACAGAAAATGGCAGGTGACAAGATCCCAAACAGCAGCAAATTTTCCTTCGTAGGCACAGGCTGGAAACTGAGCAGCTCCTTCACAAGCCACAAACAAAAATGAATGTATTTTCTGGGTAATGCTGCCTAGAAACAGCACTAGAGAGGATGCAATCACTCTTAGTCCCACTCACATGAGAGATCCTGGTAGCTTCTCCAGCAAGGATGTCCAGGATCCCAAGACCTGCTACCACAGCCACTTTGGCCTGTTTTGCTCCAGGCTACTGCTGATGGACATAGAGTTGCCTTCAGCTAGAGAAACCATCCTTTCTTTGCTAACACAGGCTGGGACCTCAGTGAGGGTTATGAGGAGCAGTGGAAGTGTCCCTGTGTGCCCCCAGGCCCAGCCTACAGCCAGGAACAAGGCAGCCATCAGTTGGAAGGCTCTGGGCGGAGGCACCTGTGTGACTTGGAGCTGGATGCCTTGTACTCAGGGCCCCCCAAAACTCGACACGCTACCATCCACAGGCAAATAACAGCACAATATGGAGGAGTAAAATACCTTTGCTCTCACTTCCCCAGGATGGAGAAGAGTAAATGATCCAGGAAAGCAAAGGGCAGTACAGAAAGCAGGCAACGAGAGAAGTGAAAAAGCAGGGACCTTGCTTGCTGCTCTCTTGCAGCACACAGTTTGCTCCAAGAATTAAAGCAAGCCAGAGAGAAGATTTGCAACACACTTTAGAGGAAGAAAAGCCTCATTATGTCAGACTTCCCACCCTACATATGATAAATGCCATGGACACCAGTTACCTTCAGACCTGACTGCCTCTCTTCTGTCATCTCAGCAAACAGAGCTCCAACCACATACCACTAGATACAGAGAATGGGCTTAGAAGAAAGCTGAAGCTGCAGAAAATCCTCTCTCCTGGGCACAGAGCAGGATAAAAGCCAACAGACTCAGTCAGTACAACCGTGAGCCACAAATATAAGCAAGTCTCTCTCTGTCTCCTTTGTGCCAAACAGAACGAAGTGTCCTTGGCCATTCCAAGCTGCTCTGCTCGGGAAGGAAGGGATCACCACAGGAGCAAGCCACAGGGGTTCGTTCGCTCAGTTTTCCTGCAGTAAGCCAGACTGAAAAGGCCAAAATCAGCAGATTTCTGCATTTGCAGGAAAATGCTACACAGAAGTAAGGGGAAAGGAAAAAATTAGGGCTTCCAGCAAGTTGCAGACTGGTGTCAGCATTTCCAGAGCCATACGTGGCACAGGTGTTAAGTGTGCCCTTCACCTCTGAGCACACCCCATATGTATCTCCAGGGATTTTCAGAAGAGTCAATTTTTAGGAGTGAGCCATCAGGCACTGCCATAATGCAGTGACTAAACATTTAAAAATAAAAACTGAGGCTAGAAGATTCCTCACTAGAAAAATGGATCAGGGAAACAAGGGGAAATGCTTAAAGATGAGCAGAAGGTGACTCTGAGCAAGGCCTTTCCCACAGCACCACGGGTTGATACGGATGGTCTTCCCCCCTGGAAGTAAGTGCTGAGGTGTGTTTCATAGGAAGAGAGGCAGCAGCTTCCCACGGGCCTAAACAGCATTAACAATACACGGTCCCCCATTCCATCGGGTCGGGATCAAACCAGGTCCATGCTGAGGCTATATGTGGCTGCAGCTTTCACAGCACATGTTCAGAAAGGGGCTGGAGAGAGAGGGAAGATCTCAATGTTCCAGGCATAAATCAAGGGAAGTATCTATCCTCACCGGGTCCTGTGCCAGGACTTGGTTTTCTAATCCTGCTAACAGAGCTTGGCCATTTGCCTTAATGACCAGTGAAGAAAGAAACCTGAAACAGCCCCTGAGGTGAACTGAAATGCCTGTTTTAAGATCATTCCCATTACCAAGAGTTGAACATGCTGGAAACCTCAACCCAAACGCAGGACTGTGCAGCTCCAATCCAAGGCTCCTGTAAGCACACAGGAACACAGCACCCATGGGGTTGCCACCTCAGGATTTGGGCAAAATCTTTCCAGCTGGGTTCAGTTAAGTGATGGCAAGAGCTCTGCCACAAGCCTGGCACTGCTCTGGAACCACATGGAGCCACTCTGAAACCACACACTCCAACAGCAGCCTCGCTCTGGTCAGGCACTGGAACCATTTTCCTGACATCCAACTGGTTAATAAGCAGCAGAAAAACAAACTTCTGCTACACAACTCCAACTAAAACTATTAACAGGCACTCTGACACTGTCACACTCCTAAAAGCATTTAAATGATGCACTTAAAAAGCCTGTGCAGGTTGATGCTCATATGGTCATACCTCAGGGTGTCCTGGAACCCTCTGAACTACTTTAGGTCAGGTTTTGGGGTGCCTCAGGTCCCTCTGAACCCCTCAGGCAACATTTTTGGCTTCTCTGAACCCCTCAGGTCATATTTTGGGTTCCCCTGGAGCCCTCCAACTCCCTCAGGTCATCTTTGGGGGTGCCCTGAAAACCTCTGAACTGTTTTGGGTTCTATTTTGGGGTCCTCTGGGTTCATCTAACCCCCTCAGCTCATGTTCTGGGGTCCCTCTGAACCCCTCAGGTGACATTTTGGGGTCCCCGGGCACTGTTGAACACTTATCAGACTTCTCTTACCCAGCATCAGGGGAACTCCAGAAATGGGCTGACACAGGCTTTACTATAAATATGGATTTACCTTTTGCCAACACTGGCAAGTATAGGAAATAAGCAGTGCTCAGCCTGGTGCCTTTGCTTTCAGGAATAAACTGGATTCTGGGATACACTGTGCCATGTGATTACATTGTGCTGAAGAAATGCACTTTAGAAGACACCAAACATGTGCTGCAAATCAATTAGAACAGAGAGAGAAAAGAGACC